CCCGTGATGATCGAAAAAGTGATGATTCAATTAGGGGCAAATGGGGAAGCCCCCCCCATGATCGAAAAGGTGATGATTCCAAAAAAATAAAGTAGCGCGGGGGTTGGGGGGGGGGGGCAGCCACCCCATGGTGTTCGGGGTGCAGTTAGGAAAGCAGAGGATGCAAAAGGCAAAGCCAGACAGCCGCCAAAAGCCACAACAAAGCCAAAAGCCACCAGAGGAACTGGTGGTAATGCAGAGGATGCGAAAAGCCAAACCCGCAAACAAAAAAAGATCAAAAACGAAACAGCCGAAAAAATGGCCCGTTGTTTTTGAGCTTAGCTGCTTAGGGTAAAGTTGGGGGTGGCTTCGGGCGAACTTGCGTTGGGCTTTGGGGCTTGTTTCAGCTGTGCTTGCTGTTGCTGAAGGGGCGGTGTTATTTGTATTTTTGCTGGTTTGCGACCAACCAACCAGCCAACCAACCAACCAACCAGCCAGCCGGCCAGCCAACCAGCCAGCCAACCAACCAACCAACCAACCAACCAGCCTTGGCTCCTAGCAAAAAAACGTCTCTTCCACAAACAATCCAACAAACCAACAAACCAACAAACAAATAGATGAACAAACAATGAATCAAACAAACAAACACACAAACAAATAAACAACAAAACAAACAAACAAACCAACAAACCAACAATCCAGCAAATCAGCAAACCAACAAACAAACAACACACACAAACGCAACAAACGCAACAAACAAAACCGCCCACACACACCAAAACAAACACAAGCATAAACACAAACACGCAATTTAACAAACGCAAACACACGCACTCACACGCAGACACTCACACACAGACACACACGCACACACAGACACACACACAAACAACCAAACACACACGCACACACAAACAGACACACACAAACAACCAAACACTCACGCACACACAAACAAACACAAACACAAACACAAACACAAACACAAACACAAACACAAACACAAACACAGTCACAATCTCACACACACACACACACACACACACACACACACACACACACACACACACACACACGCACACACACACACACACGCACACACACACACGCAAGCGCACAAACACAAACACAATCACAATTACACACACAACCACACAAACACAAACAAAAACAAACACGAACTCGCAAAGCACAAACAAACAAACAAACAGACAAGCACAGATAAAGAAGTGCAAACACAAAAGCGAACAGCACAAACAACGCAAACAAACACAAACAAACACACACACAAACACAAACAAACACAAACAAACACAAACACCCACACACACACACGCACACGCGCGCGCTCGCACAAACACACACGCACACACAAACACACAAACACACACACACAAACAAACAACGAACTGACACAAACTCAAACACAAACACAAACACAAACACAAACACAAACACAAACACAAACAGCAGGAATTGAATTGCTCCCCCCCCAAACTCCCCCCCCAAAGAAGTTAAGCGCGCTGGGTGACTACCAGATCATCATTCTGCAAGAGGCATTTCGGCTTGACGGGAGCTATGACTGAGCCCTCTTCCCCCGAGATTTGCCAGTACCTTACTTTGGGTTTGACCAGTCGATGAACCTAAGACCGGAACAAAGTAAAGTTGCTGCTCTACTTAGGCAAACTTCAACTTGCGGGAAATGTGGTTGCCTGGGTTATCCCTGGCGAACAAACTTGCTGGACTACAGTTCACATTGCTCAATGCATTCTGCAATCCGGCACGGAAAAGAAATTGATGGAGCGATACGATGTCGCTTGGCTGGATGTCATTTCAATTCGTTGCACATTTTATTGAACCAGAAATTTGTTGGAGAAGGGAAAGGTTTGAACATGCGCTACAGCCAAAGCAGCCAAGCCAAAAGTCGAAGATTGGCGCAGACGACTTTGGCCCCAACTTGGCGCCCAAAACTACCAAGACATCCAAAAAAACACAACAAAAGATTTGGATTAGCCACAACGCGATGAGATCATCCATGATGATTGCATTTCTAGCATGGGCGATGTCGCAAAACAAGAGGTCGGCAAATGACAGAGCCCGGGCAAAGAATTTCTTGGGCCTTCTTCTGAAGCTTGCCTCAACATTGGGAGGTGGTGCAGTTGTCAAAGTTCGCAAAAGCGGAAGTCAAACTTGGAACAATGTGGTTTTGCGCCCAACATTATTGCTTGATGGCTCTGCTGTATGGCCCCTTGCGGCTGGCATTCGCAATTTTCTGAGAGATGAGTGGAACGGCGAGCTGGTTTCATTGAGTCATCATTTGGTACCCCAGCATCACGAACTGCATCATGTGTGGAGTGGACGCCGAAAACAAGCAACACAGCTTCTGCGAACCAATGGCTTTGAGTTTGCTGTCCCAGCTGCGCAAGATCATTGATGAGAATGCTTCGCAGCTGGGGGGTGCCTCAAAATTGCAAGCCGCAATTGCGTTCAAAAAAGGCAAAGATTTCGTGGCCCACACACG